GGGAGGGAAGGAGGGGAGGAGGAAGGAAGAGGAGAGCAGGAGCAGAGGGGAGGGGTGCAGAGGTGGACTGCTGTCTCTGGTGTCTTCCCCCACCAATCCTGGGGCCCTGCCCACCTCTCTACCCCCCCCAGGCATGGGCTGAAGTCACCCCACAGGGATGCCCCTGTCCCCACCCAGTGAGGCCAAGAGACAGTGCAGAGCTGGTAGACTTGGCGGCCCAGCTTTCATCCATCCACTGGTTCAGCACCCTTGGGCCTCGATGCTCGCCCACTCCCCTGCGTAATGTGGCAGCAGAAACCCCCACCCCACTGGGTTGTTGGGAGGGTCCTAAAAAGACATGAGTCAGTGCTACATAAGAATCTCTTTTCTTACCAATATCATCAGCCCGCTTTACAGGTCAGGAAACTGAGGCAGTGAATGGTTAAGCCCTGCCCTGCTCCAGAGACCGACCATCCAGGAGGAAGGGCGGGTGCAGGGCCGAGCCGTGGTGCTGCCTGGAGGGGGCCAGGAGGCACATCCAGCCCAAGCATGAAGGACCCCTGCTGTGTGGCCAGGGCAGGAAGAGGGGGCACGAGGGTGTGGGGGCCAGACTGCTGGCCTGCAGCGATAGGAGCTGGGGGCACATGGCTTCCTCCTGTGCTGTCGGTGGCTGGGGGGCACATCTCCAGGGTGGTTCTGAGCTGTGGTCCCCCACCCCTGGAGGCTAGGGTCAGAGGCCTCCAGAAGGGCCGGGGGGCAGCTGTAGCACACCCAGGATGTCATCATCTCAGGATCCTCTCAGACACCAACAGTGTCCCCATGAAGCGGTCACATCACAGACCACAGTTAGGAGGCAGAACGGGAGGCCACGGCTCAGCACACCAAGACCAGAAATAGCTCTGGGCAGAGGTGGAGGGGCTGGTGTGGTCTCCACACCGTAGAGGGTCAGGGTACCCCTTCCTGCTCCTGCTCCCCCGTGCATCTGTCCCCCATCCTCGCTGGCTTCTCACAGGCACCGCCCGCCCTCCATCCGTCCTCACACACAGACACGTGCAGGGGCAGCTTCCATTCCCACAGCATTTCTTGTGCCCATCCTGGGCCATGGGTGCCAGGGGCCAGACAGCGGCAGCAGCTCCCCTGGGGGCCAGCCCGCCGTCCAGGGTGCATCTCCTGGGGCTGTGGCCCCGGCCCCTGCTGCCCTCCCCAGCCTCTCGAACACCATTCCTTATTGATCTTCTCAGGGCAGCAGCTGCTGGGGCAGGGCAGGCAGGCCAGTTCAATAATGGGCAAGGTCACCTGCCATGGCTCTGAATACAGCAACATGCAGTTGGAGAAACTGAGGCCCAGTGTGGACAAAGGCCTGCTGGAGGTCACAGTGTGACTGGGGCAGAGCTGTTGGGACTGGCTTCCTGGCTACACTTGGTGCTCCCTCAGCCCCTCCAGCCCCACACCTTGCCCCCGCCCAGCCCAGCCTGGACCTGCCTTGTGATGCTCGGTTCACCCCAAGACCACAGAGCACCCGGGGCCAGCAGGCCAGGCACAGGCTGGGCCCTGCAGTCTGCTGAATTCTCCTAGGGGTCAAGTTTTTTGATCCATTTTACAGCTGAGGAAAATGAGGTTTGGTGGGCAGAAGATACAGCTCCAGGGATTCCCAGCCCCACAACACAAGGGGTGAGAAAAGTCTTGCTGGGCAGTAAAGGGTTAGTCTCCCATTACCCCCCAACCCTAACCCAAGGTCCATTTCCCCCCAAAGAAAATTTCCAGTCAACACAGCACCCTGAGAGGGCCCATCCTGGGCCGCTTTCTAGTCAAGGACACTGAGGCTGGTGGGAGAGGGGCCTGATGCCCCATCTGAGCTGGAGGCCCTGGACATGCAGGCTCACCCCAAGGGTGTGTTCCTGAGGGTCATGCTATGGCAGGGCAGTTCACTCAGTCAACCTTCCCTCCATCCCTCGGCAACAAGTCAGGCAGCCCCTGGTTCAGGAGCTGTGCTGGGGACAGCAGACACCAGACCAAGCTAAGGACACCAGCTCTGGGCACTCGTGGTGCAGGAGCGACCTGACCCCGCTGTGTGGCAGGTGCCATACGAAGGACTTAAAGGCCACAGAGGCCTGGCCTGGTCCCAGACAGCACAAGGCTGTTGGGGAGGAGCCCAGGAGTCCACTGCCAGCACAAGGGTCTGGGCAGACCCTCTGGTGGGCAGGACCCTCGGCCCAGTGTTCAGGCCTCAGGAATTCACTCTTGGTGAAGGCCAGGCTGCCCGCCTGGAGATCTCTGGAACCTCGCCCTTCCAGCCCACACCCCCCAACCTGATGCCCACCTCCCTTGGCCCCCATCCCAGTGAGCCCTGCACTGGGGCCGACAATGCCAGCACCCAGGAGTTCTGTCTGGCTGAAGCCCTGTCCAGCCCAGGACTCGGCCCCAGATCCAGAGACTCAGCCAGTGTCCCTTGACCGACAGGAGGCTGGAGCCAACTCCCCTTACCCCACTCCGTCAGGCTGCCAACAAATACCTGCTGCCTAGTTACCTAGAGAATTGTCTCCATGACGGGCTCATTGTGGTCCCTTGGCTAACTCAAGTCAATTCATGGGCTGAGTCCACAGAGGAGGTTAATAAGGAACTGCTGTGGCTGACATGCCCCCGCCCTGGGGGGCTCAGGAGGGGGACACTCCCTGTGCCAGGCCTGAGCCACAGCACTGACACATACCTGCCCCCACGCCTATTTGCCCACCCTGACCCCGCTCAGGACAGGGGTGCCCAGGCCGGCAGGGTTCACAGTGCTGTGTCGTGCCTCTCTGGGGCCCCACATCCACTCCCAGGGCCAGAACCCCGCCCCGAGACCCAGCCCTCCCCTCACTTCCCTGGGACCCTGGATCTGCTCCCTGCACAAAGCTGCCTGTGAGGCCTATAGTGTCAGCCTCCCACAGGAGGGCACACAAGTACCAGAGCGCATACTGGGGGCACACGATAGAAAGGTATACTCCAGGACCTGCCATAGGAGCATATACACTTGAGCCTTGGGCTGCCGGGGCCTGGGACAGAGCTTGGGAAGTCGGCTGAGCAGTAGAGGGTTGCTGTGACAGTGCTATGCATACTTGGCGACCGAGAGCCTCTCCCAGGATCCAGGGTTGAGCGGAGGGTCTGCTCTCCTCTGCAGCAGGAAGAAGGCAGGTGGGCACATCCCACGTGTTCTCTCGCCCCCGGCACTTGTAAAACATGACCAACAAGGCAGGTGGGCAGCCTCTGCCCAAGCAGAATAAATTCTGCTATGAAGACACATACGTGCAGGTTTGAGGCCCTTGCCTGCTCGTCCTCCAGAATCAGCCCTTCCCACCTCTCAACAGCCTCTATCAGCCTCAGTCAGGAGGACAGCAGCTGGACAGGACCCCACCTGAGCTGTCCCAGGTGTAGCCCACCCAGGGTTGACCTGAAGCCCACCTGGAGCACAGCCAGCCTCACACAAGGGCAGGGGGCTCCAGAAGCAAGACAGTGGTGGGCCAGTGCTGGGTGGACACCAGGCATCCCTGAGTAGGGGCCTTGGCCCAAAGACATCCCATTCCAGCATTGCTGCCTTGAAGCTACACAGGGACTTATTTGATAAGCATCTGTCTCCCAGGGAGGCTCTGTCAGTCCACCATGATACCCCCAGCCTCACACAAGGCTCAGCAGCAGGGGACAAGAGGAGGAGGAAGGAGGGGAAGTGAGGGATGCGGGCCCTGGGCCTTCCCAGGACAACCCAAGGTGCAGACTTTCCTTGTTTCTGGAGGTTCATGACATACCTGCAGAGCATCCTCCCATAGCACAGTGAAGGGGTGACCATCAACCCCACTCCTCAGACAAGGGCACTGAAGCAAGATGACCAGGAGGGCACCAGCAAGGCCAGAAGACAGGCATACAATCTACCCCAAGAACCCTCACCAGGAAATCAGAGCAGACCCTGAGCCCCAGGAATGACACAGCAACCCTGGGCTCTCTGATCCCCCACAACACCTAGTCATTGGCCAAGGCCTCCTTTCCTGGGCTGGCTGAGGGTGGGCCCTGGGGTATCTGAAGCCCTAAGCTCAGATACAGGCTCTGTACCCCTCTTGAAGTGGCTGGAGAATCTGCCAGCCCCCACTAAGTCTGTCTGCATGCCAGTGGTGTGAGGATGATGATGGGCCAGCACCCACCTCCCTCAGGACCCCAGAGATGCCTCTAGCCTGGAAATCCACCAATGTGCTCCACCTGGGCTTGAGCTCTGTGGCCAGTGTGCTGCCTTCCCAGAGGCTGGCCTGGAGACTGGCACCCAAGACAGACACAGCCAGCCTGAAGTCTGACCTTGGTGAGCACTGTGTCAAGTGAAGAGCCCAGGGAGGTGGGGCACAGCTCAGAGGTAGCATCCCAGAGACAGGAGGGCCCTCTGCTCCAGTGGTCTCCAGAACACTCCGGTCTGGCCTGACAGCTACCCCAGTTTGGTCCAGAAGATGCTGGGTTGGAGGAGGGTGTGGCTGCCAGGCTGTGCTGCAAACATGCCTAGAGCCACTTCTCCACTGCCTCCACTGATCTCAGCCTCAGCAGAGAAGGGAGGCTCACAGACAAGCCTGGTTCACAAGAGACCCCCACCCACACTCAGCATTGATTTGCTGCTGCTTCTCAGGCAGCACTGGGGTCCCCCTCCCCTGCCCACACACCACACATTAGAACAGGGTGATCTGAGTCAGAGACATGTGTCCATCCCCCTCCTTAGACCCACTAAGATGAGATGGTGACATGGAGCACCCCCTCGAGGGGTAGGAAGCCCCTGGAGAAACACCCAGATAAAGGGTCTCCACCATCAGCATCTGGTAGTACACAGGGCAGCTCCTGCCTCATGGCCCCAAGCCTGCCAGTTGATAAGTGCCATCTCAACAGAGCACCCAGCCAGCTTCGCTAATAAAAGTGACCAGAAAAACAGCGACCACCAGGCATCTGGAAAAGCCCCCAATCCAAATGGAGGGAAAGTGACTCTACAGGAAGCAGACAGTGTGCAGCATAGACAAACATTAGGAAAAAAATCTAATTAGTGTCCTCCTAGGGATAGAAAGGGATTTAAAACAAGAACAGGATGCTATGAACAAGGAGCCATCAGAGAACAAAAAAGTGCCTGGAAATTAAAAATAGAAGAGCTAAAAAAAAAAAAAAAAAAAAAAAAAGGAAGGAAAAAAAAAA